TACCTACCACAGGGCACTAACATTTGTTTTATGCTTATGCAATACAATGAGTCATTGCAATAAATAGGCCCGTGAGCATGTTCTCCCATCTGTTAATCGCACAGCCGTGGACATTCCATCATATATTTATCATAAGAGTCGCGAAAATAGAATTCGGCAGAACATCAAACAGCACCTACTTAATCATGTCATGCTTGAGGTCTGAGATATAGAATGAAAACTATACTGTTTTCGTTTAGTTTCCTGCTTATAGCCAGCACATTACTCGGTATCTGGTTAAGAGTGTATGTAATGCATGCCAACAAATTGATCTAGCTATCTAAGTGGTTGCTTCTCTCATGAGCAACCACACGGTCTTGTTCAAGTTCTGCTTTGCTGGTCATTGAAGCTGGGCAAAGCGTGGCATGAAAGCATATGCGGTGAATAGCAAAATTAGCTACTCTAACCAACCAATGCAGATCTTGGAGGTGTTACTTTTGCATACTACATCGTCGACAAAGGTACAGTTTTGGAATGTAGACACACATGCGACTCGGAAAATAAGTTCACCAAAATCAAGTTGCAGTCATCATGCGGGTTAAAAAAAAAAGAAAAAATAGGGAGCAGGCGATTTTAGGCGGCTAAGCGGGTTTGGATGGGTTACAAGCAAGCCAGCATGTTGCATGGATGCACAACACGATCGGTTGTGGAAAGGAAGGGGCTGCTCTCTGAGTTATTTGGAAGTTTTAAACCAGCTGGGAAAGGGGAGTTGCATTTGCCCAGAATGTCATGGTTGTTCCATTACTTTGGGAAGCATTGAGCAGTAAAAACCTTTGTTGTGTTCCGTAACACTTCGTAGTGCGGAGGAAAAAAGTGGAATACTTTTAGGTATGTGAAACATTGCTTTGGTAACCGCATGAGTATTATAACCCATCACACTGCACTTGTAAGAGACTCTCATTTTAAGTGTCATTGCAGTCTTGCGTCTATATGGCTACAGCTACATTCACAGTTGGCATTAGTGTGTGTCATCAGTACCGTACGCTTTTTGTTTCTACTGATGAAACTGCAGTGTTTGCTTGCACGCCTGGTGAATAGTGTGTTGAAGTCTGACCTTAGCTACTGTGACACTGCGTCACCGAAACGGCATAGAGAAATTGGAGCAGGAACAAATGCCAAATGAGTGTTTGTAAATGTGGATGACCGGTGGCTTTGGTTTCGTGTTGGAGGAGTGCGGTGAAAAGGATATTTCCACAAGTCACTTCAGCACCTGTGCTTTTCATCAAAAAGACCAAAAAAGTTAGCAACGGTTATTAGTAAGAACCTTAACTTTGAGTGAATTTTGCTGTAACTCGCCAGTTTCGTAATTTTTTTTGTTGAGCTCCTGTTGTTGGGACTACATGTCATGCTTGCATGAGCTCGAAAAGTGCATTCGATGGGCAAATGTCACTTAGCAGCAGCGGAAATGTCATTAGCAGCTGTTCACATTCACTGCAAATGACATTACATGTGCTGATGGAAAGAAGTGTAAACTTAAAGGCCAACTCCGGCAATTTTTTGCTATGTCAGGGTAATGGTGGTTTTATGTTCCCGAGACACACTTGTCGCGCTCGGATAGCTGAAATGCTCAATAATTTTGAAAATATTTTTAATTAGCAAAATACCGCAGTATCGAAACCCAACCAAGTTAGCTTCTACGTATGATGTAATAGTTTGCCAGAACCTGCCTGGTTGTGCATAACGCAGTAAGATGACACTTGTACAGGCCGTCCAAGTTCGTGCCTGCGGCGATCAGCTAAAACGCTTTCGCTGTTATGGTGAATATGTGGCGAATCGTGCAACACCGCTTGCCTCCCATCGCACGCCCACCAATGTGAGAAAAGGAAATACCAAGCTCAACCAAGAAAGTGCTGGCCAAACCCATTCTTCCATAGCAAACAACCTGCTGTGGCACATCAGTTCCGTCACTTCTGCTTTGTGAAAATCGTCCCATGCACGATTTTGTCATTAATTCCGGCAAGCGAGATGGGCGTTTGGAGGCAAGCTATAAAATTTATTTGAAAAGAATCTGCGAAACTATCAAGTCTGCAATTTGGCATGAATAGCGTAAACCGGCAAATGAACATACCCAGTCAATTTAATTGAAATCCACTGACCTAGAAAAATCGACGAAGTTGGCCTTTAAGGCCTCACTTTCTTTGATAGACAGAACATTGATGAGAACTTGTCTTTTCTCATTATATGTGTTGTGTGACAGGGATTTTAGAATACTAAAGCTAATATAGTGGGTGGAAATCAATCTTAAAGATGTCTGTAAACATTGATTGATTGATATGTGGGGTTCAACGTCCCAAAACCACCATATGATTATTAGAAACGCTGTAGTGGAGGGCTCCGGAAATTTTGACCACCTGGGTTTCCTTTAACGTTGTCTGTAAACATGGACACAAGAGAAAAGTCGGGGCAACACAAACACCACACTTGCGTTAACAAGGCACTGCTGTGCCGGATAGCTTTTATTATATTTCAGGAGTAAGTCCTGTTCAGCAGCTTTCGTTCTTTCGCGTTCAGTCGCCCCGAAGCCTCCTGTGATTGTCTCTAGGAGTAACCTTTTCACTCACTGTTAAGCTGAAAAAACTGCACCTTGTCCATCAGCTTCTGCAATATAGTCAAAATCTTTAGACTATTGCAGCCAATTGGGGTTGCCTCTAATGCCAGGTCTTCTGATCAGTAATGTCGAGACACTGATTATAATGGTTGCATTATGGTTACGCAATGACTTTTAGGAGCGTGTCGCTCGCCGAAACCATACAAGTCATGTTTGCCCTTATCACAAGTGCTTCGTCACAATGCACGTCTTGTGTGTCAAGGGGAAGCCAGGATATGGCATTCTTTGGTTAGAAGAGCCTGCTTTAGTGGCTACTCTCTGATAGTTCGCCTAAAGGGTCATTGACCACGCAGAGGTCAAAATATAGTTGTGTTGTTGCAGTTGTGTGCAAGTGTACAACAAACACATGGTCAGAATTTTTCGAAATGGGGTTGTAATAGCAGAGTCGCCCGCCTTCTATAAAAAAGAAAGACATTTCACTCTTTCATTTCCTATGCTCCGTTTGTTAGCTCGTCTAGGGGTGCAGCAGCTGTACCAATTTGATACAATTCTCCAATTTCGTGTTGAGCTGTGCCAAAACCATGAAATTTGCTGGAATTGCGCCAAATTGGCTCGATGAGCCTTGTCAGTTGCGCTTAATTCAGCGAGAAACGGCAGCCACATTAGCTATCTGCGTGAAGTTTGCGTCGTCAATCAATCCAAGCACTCCGACCCCAACCCGAAACCATGCTTTAAGATATATTGCCGTTAAGTCAGGGCACTCCCGACACGCGATCGACCTGATTTAGTAACAAAGCCACGCACCATTGGTCCGCTGACCGCTGCGGATATCTAACGGCGGGACGGCGCAAGTTGAAGACAAGAAATTGTTGCTGCAACCATCAATGCTTCGTGGAAAATATGAACGTCCTAGTCAGCAAACGTGGCTATGGCATGTTAGCAACTAAAGCTGGAAGCGTATGCCGTGTTCCCGCGTGCGAATAGACTCAACGTGCTGGGAAAACTGACGTTACCGGCGACAACATTGGTTGCCATAGCAACGGCACATAAAACATTTTTCTGTCTTGAAGTTTCGTCATCTTGGCAATAGATATCTGGTGCATTTGCCGGGACAACAAGCGCACGCCGTTGTTACTTCATCTGGTCGAACGCGCCTTGCAAGCGAGCCAAGAAGTTGCGCCCTTAACCAAATCCTGTCGCAAAAAGGGGGGGTGCAGGGGTGTTTATGGCTTGTTCTAACTTTACAGATGGCTGCTTAATCCACCTTCGCCGTTAAATACCGGTGCCCTGCGAAAAAGCGCATTGTGATTTTGAAGGGGCTCACAGCACTTATCGAGGACACAGTACTTTTTGTTCAATTAGTCACTCATTTATATGCCGCATAATTGTGAGTACTAGTAGGATCAATGATGTCTGAAAAGGTTGCTGGCAATGATTTGGAGAAGTGTATGACATTGCTGATGCCTTTAAAAAAACCTCTTTTTTTTTTTCGCCGCCCCTATGAATCCCCGGAATTTCTAGGTCGCCAGCTTGGCAGATCCACATTTGAATTCGCAGAGTCGGACATGGCAAACGCTAATGTGGACATTATTATTATTTGCTCAGTGAGGTTGTTCAAAATACTAATTTTATTGAAATGGCAGTGCTCTTACTCTACTGCACAATTTAGGGCATGTTTAATGGTTTGTACATATTTTTTTTTTCTAGAGGTAAGATTATTTTTCTAAAGAATATTGTTTCCTGTAACCTGCTTCGGATTCGGATTTTTGTGCTCCAAAAGCCACATCTTTTTGATCCAAAAATTGCTCAATTCTATTTTGGCTGTAGCACCCCTGCTTGGCCAAGCAAGTGCTTCGCTACGTGTGAGAAGGAAGAGTGACAGGGTGGCATACCTGCGTGCGAACAGGTTCCTTTTGTGAATGACATGGAAGTGGAGGAAAATGTTGATGTCATCGCAAACTTATTAGTATCGCTCCATATCACTTCTGTAGAAAGCTAACATGGACTAGAAAGATCTGGGTGCTGGTTCAACAGCATTTCATGAGGTTATTGGCATGTCAACATAGCATATAATGGAAAGAGAACAAGCCACTTGGCTTATGGTTGACTGTGTGGTTTGCTACCCTATTGTCAGATCCTTTGAGGTAAATGATTTATGTCTTGCACTATTTAAATTTTATATTGTGGTGTATTTGATTGCAGTGGGGTGCATGTAATAGTTCTATTTTAGTGCATACCTTTCCTCTCTTTAAGAATTGCCATGCCGCCACGACAGCCCAATGATACTTTGCAGTCATCTTTTTGTGCCCATCGCCTTTTTTGATGCTTTGACATGATGATGGCGGAGCTCTGTACACAGAAAGCACCTGATAACCGAACCCCTTCCTTCCCACCTTCTTTTGCTCTTTTGCAGCCAGTGTTTTTTTTACCCGTTTTTTTTTCTTCGTAATTTTTTTTGTTCTTTTTTTCTCACTATTTTTTTACCGGCCTGGATCCATCTTTACTCACCATCGCTGCTGCTCTCCGTTGCTGACGTTGGGGGCCCTCCTGTCTTCCCGGTGGGTTTGTCAACTTTGCCACCCTGCTGACTGACTTTACTCCTGCCACAGTGTTCACGGAGGAAGGGCTGTTTTTTTTTTATTCCCTTCTACACCTCCAAGGTGACCAAGGCCAGCCGCTGTTATATCAAGATTCCTGGCGAGACTGAAAGCAGCAGACCAAACTACTGAACGGGAACAGTGAGGGCCTGAACCAACGGAGCACGCTGGAACAATACGAAGCCATGGAAGGCGACGGAGGCAACAGCCAGACAAACCTCATCATCAACTACCTTCCCCAGGGCCTGACGGACGAGGAGTTCCGCAGCCTTTTCACCAGCATCGGTCCCATTAAGTCATCGAAGATAGTGCGCCACAAGGCAACCGGCTACAGCTACGGCTTTGGATTTGTAGACTATCAGGGAGCAGGCGACGCAGCTCGCGCAGTTGAGTCGCTCAATGGCCTGCAGTTGCAGAACAAGAAGATCAAGGTGGCATACGCCAGGCCGGGTGGTGAGACCATCAAGCACGCCAACCTCTACATTCGCGGCATCCCCAAGCACTTCCCCCCTGAGCAGGCTGAAAAGCTGTTTGCAGACTTCGGCCGGCTGATTCAGTTTCGAGTGCTCAAGGACGACGCCGGACAGAGCAACAAGGGCGTGGCGTTTGCGCTGTACGATCTGCGTGAGAATGCCGAGGCTGCTATGGCGGCACTGACCGGCCAGACGCTTCCAGGCGCCACCGAGCCACTTCTGATCAAGTTCGCCGAAGACAACTCCAAGAAGCTGCGACCTCCGGGAGGCCGGGGGCCCCAGGGTCAGCTGATTGGGCCCCCGAGCGCTGGCGGCGGAGGCCCCATGCGCGGCGCCCAGGGTCGTTACCGTTACAACCCATTGACGGGTTCCTACCAGTACCCGATGCAAGGCATGGCACCTGCTCCCACAGCGGCCGATGCAGCTGGGCACGTACTCTTTGTCTACAACATTGGGACCGATACGGACGAAAAGTCGCTGTGGCAACTCTTTGCCCAGTATGGCACGGTGACCAAGGTGAACATCATCCGCGACACAGCCACGGGCCTGTCCAAAGGCTTTGGCTTTGTCACCATGGCCAACTACCAGGACTGTGTGTGGGCCATCGAGGCCTTAAATGGGTTCCGCTATGCGGGTCGACCGCTGCAAGTCTCCTTCAAGCAGCCCAAGTAGAAGTGATCGTTGTGCTGGCAGTGGTCATCAGTGGACGGTTGCAAGGGGCATCGACCGCAGTTCTGCAAGTCAGTTCGTGTACCTTAATTTTAATGGTAGCCACCCTGGTTGTTTTGAAAAGTCATTCCGAACTGTTTGCAGGACTCTGGGGTGCTCGCTCTTCTTGCAACTCGATAACCATGTCCACGTCTTGTTGGTGACTGGCAGTGTTACGTGCCTCCCTCATATGTTTTGTTTTTTTCCTCTTATTCATTGTTGAATTGTTTTTCCGAGAACCACTCTGGATTGGCTTAACGCTGCCACATATCGCCTGTGTGCTATGAAGAATATGGCTGGCCGCCTCTAGGGACTGGTAGCGTTTTGGGGGGATGGTCTTGAGTGTGCAGTCATGTTTTTTTTTTCTTTTTCTGCCTATGAATATTGGTTTATTTGGCATGAACCCGACTGGTCTGCTCCATCTTGTCTTGCTCAAGAAAATTTGCATTGACAGCAGAGCGGACAGACTGTTTGCCCCCTTCAGCTTGTGGGTACTGTGAGACATTGTTGCATTCTTTTTTTTCTGATCTTTTTTTTTTCTGTTTTGATCTTTTATTAGTGCGAGAGTGTGTGTGGTTGTTCATACCTTTTTTTTTTTCATCTGTGCATGCACCGAGTTAGCAATGATCATGTGAATTTTCTTGCTTAACTGAACTTGGGAAAACATGTATTTTTTTCTTTGTTTAGCTTTCCCTGTGTTCAAAGCAGGCATGAGCCATTGAGGTTGCTGTCGTTTCATTCTTTTTTTTTTCTATCTCTCTTTGTTATTGCTTTTCACATCTGTTGACCATTGTTATGATCTTCAAAGGGACATCTGTCTTGGCATCGAACATTGTGGGCGTACGGGTCCACCTTAGCGTGACTTTCATAGTTTCATTTTTTCATATATTTTTCTTGTTATGTCATTTTGCACAGTCAGCTTTATTTTATTCTCCTGGTTGGAAGAGACATTTCTAATTGTCTACATGAGAACGTATTACCAATGTATCCTGAATATCCGTGCATCAGCTGAGAATGCTCCTCTGCCACCCCGTCTTGAGCGATCGTGAAGATTATTGACTAATAAAGGCTCCTCAGCACTGAGCTGACTCAACTTTCGCTTACTGAATATTTCTCGAGTTTTAGCAATGTCTGCTAAAGCCATTGTATGTGTTTACGCATCCATTACTTCACGCGTGTAACTGTAATGGCAACTGGAAGACGTACTGTTGATGCATTGCTCTTGTTGCCAATATTAAACAGGTGCTGATGCCAGTTTTCTGCGCAGGCCTGTAGCTGAGAAATGTTGGGAAGACATTTTTTATTTTGATGCTTTATCAGTTCTTACAGGGTGCACCTACTGGCATTGTCACTAGCATGACGTCGGGCTACAGTATTGGTTCCCGTGACGTGGTGCACCACTATGGCTAGTAGTGATGGTGCAGGAACCAAAACAGACCGTATGGCCACTCGTGGATCATTAGTGCAGCCAAGAGTGAAGCTGCCATGGAAACTGAGGGAGAGCACATGACGACCTCATGTGGTATCGTAACATTGATTATAATAGCAAGTGAAACTTGCTTTCAAGACCTGAATTTTTCAGGGTGGACTCGAATTTATCGACACTTTGTATGTAGGTGCTCGAGGGCTTGGTTTTTTATGTAAGCGGCTGATTTTGAGTTTGAGTTTATTCAACCACGTGACAAGTACACGAAAATACACTGTATACGTGGTTCGGTGCGAAGGGGAAAAAAAGCTGCATTTCAAAGCTTGACTGGCCCCTTCACCCAGAAAATAATCTAAACTACAAATTTACAAAAAATTACAAAAACTGCAGGCAGTGGAAAGCGACAATACAAAAAGAAACATGCATGTGGCACATGACAGCAAATAATAGAATCACAAATTTTTTTTTCATACACAGTCAAAGAGCCCCTTGGAATTGCACACTTTGATTATGCACTGTTTTCCTAAACCTCCAAGTGGTGTTTAACTTGATATGATCGGTTTCGTTCTAGTGCTGTTTTAACTTCATTCCATGTGTATGTCCCACCTGACAGGTTAAACTGGAGCTGGTCAGATCACATGGCTAGGCATGGACTGTGCGGCACATACATATTTTAATGTGATAGCATTAAAGAGCTTGTTTACAGGAATTCCAGTGTCGTCGGTTATGAGCGCAGAATCTTGTCCATGACCAAAAATTGAGAATACAAAATTTGAAAATGTGCCTATGTCCGAGGCAGGATTGAACCCATGCCGTTGGCGTGGCAAGCTGGTGTTGTACCACACAGCTGCGTGTCTGGTCGGAAATGCAGTGAAAAAAATGTTCATGCATTGCAAACACGCGATTTGTGTACGGTATTATCACAGTGATATCGCATGGGACAAGCGTACATTGCCATCAGACCTTGGAATATGTGATAATCATAATTTTGTGGTTTAAAACTGGCCACATATTGCAGAATCCACGTACGTTACTGTGCATAGTTTTTTTAAAACCATGTTCACATGCATAATTTGTCATGGTTTTAAAGCACTGTTGCCCATTACACAGGTTGTATCCACATGCGGAAGGTTCACTCATGCTCTTCTATGGATTGCAGTATAGTCCGTCCACAGTTTAAACTTCTCAAGTAACATCATACAATAAAAATATGCACGAAGTTGTTGAAGTACTTACTGAAGACGGCGCATCGCTTTCAACTGAAGCAAAGCTTAAGGGTTCCCCAAATTTTCATCAATTCCTTCTCTGCCAACTACCTGCCTTTCAGTTTTTCGTGGTTTAATTATCCCTTTCTTTTCCCATCCGTGGTACATACCTTTGCCCGTGAACTTGAGCAGCGCTGTGTAGTATGCTTTGCTGATGGTAGGTTCTGTGTAGGACGAGTTTGATATTGAACTGACCTGTTATGAGGTGCCTGTTAGACGAAGTTATCTGCCAGGATTTGTACTCTACTCATTAGGCGTGGCTGTCAAGTAGCGTATCCATATGCCGCTATTAGACTTCAGGCACAGGGTTTATTTGGTGTCCTGCGCAACCCACGTGGCGAGGGGGCGTAATGTGGGATTACAGTAAAGACGTGTGTTGCGCAAATTACAGCGTCCACTTGAATGCTAATAAGAACGGACAATGGTGCCAAAGAAATATAGAGGATGTTATTTGGAGTAACTAATGTGAAGAAAGAAAAGGAGACGAAGAGAGATAACTTGCCACCGGCAGGATCTGAACCTGCGATCTTCGAATAACGCGTCCGATGCTATACCACTTAGCTGCGGTAGTGGTAATCTCCCCCTCCCCCCGTCCACTTTATAGGGTGCACATGAGAGGAGCAGAAGAAAAAGGGGTAATGTGGCGATGCTCACGCAAGGCGGGGGATTCGAACAGTGGATTGTAAGGGTAACTGATGCCTCTCAAGTCGCGGAAGGTAATTGAGTGATTGTGACAGCAAAGGACTTGAAGGGGCCCTGCAACACTTTTTGGAGTAGCCATGGAATATGTTCACTAAAGGAGCTTATTGCCTCGCGAATTCATCCACGGCAGAGGTTGGTAAAATCTGTCTGCTACGAGCGTAGAATGTCTCGTCCCGACAAAAGCGCTGGACGCTAAGCAGGAAGAGATGGCACGATGAAAATGATTACGTCATGCGTGCCTCGTGACCTTGAGCACTTTAAAATGGTCTCGATTTGGCAGCACTTTCTGGACGTACAAGAAGGGAAATCTGGGCTAGTTGGTCGATACATTTCACGAAAGTATCGTGCCTGTACCGCGCCAGTTTCTGTAGTGTTACAGAAACTGGCGTTGGATGTTGGGTGTGCAGCACGGCCTCAAAAAGAATGCCGAAGTGCAAGTGACGCTATGTGCGCCCGCCCAATTGAGGGCCAAAGTGCTGCACTCTTGAACTAGTGCAGAAAGTGCAGTCAAATCGAGACATTTTTTTCTTTCTTCGAATACGCGACTTTTCAATGCGTTCGCGCGTGAACAAGTTGCGGCCTCCCGTGGCGGTACTTGTAACGATCGAGTGCGCCATCCTCAAGTCGGTCAATGGCTGATATAACGGCCGTGACGAGTGATTTTCGAGCTCTTTCCGTCATTTGTTGGGAGAAGAGAAAGCAATTTTCAGCTGACTGATAATTTATTGTGAATTTTAGGCCAAATCTTTTGTAACTCCACTCGTACTGGACGGTATCTAAAATTTTTGTCGCAGGTGAATTCGTGGAGCAACAAGCCCCTTTAGTGAAGTCATTCCATGGCTACTCGCAAAGGCCCGTTTAGCGATTGTTTCTAGAAATGTTGGCTAAGTGAACGAGGTGGCACGATATATTACGATACGGTAATACGCAAGGCGTTCACATGGCCTGGGTGATCTGTTTTAGTTATAGCTGCCGCGTGTGATCTCTCTCACGCTCAAGGAGCAACTGACACAGTTCACACTGCAGTGCAACAAATGAAAATTTATTCATAGTATAGCACGTGTGGTGCGGGCTTGGATACCCAGCACCTACCACTAGACGTCGCATGATTTATTAGGAGACACTGGCCACTTTCACAGGTAGCCACGGAAGTCGATGTAGCGTGGCACAAATCCAATGCAGTGGATTGGCCGAGCAGCGAGTGAATCTTTCTATAAAATGCTAAGCATTTCTTAGCGAACTTCAGCGACTTTGAGCGTATCTATCTATCTATCTAGCCGCCTACGACTTTTAGCACTCCTGGCCGTTTCGGTAATGGTATGGATACCAAACTTGGTATGGCATAACATGACTGTATGAAGAGCATATCTGACTCGTCATGACATGAATGTCAATTATGTCATGATTTACATTTCATGGTCCTGCAGCTATTGCGGTGGTTTCGTTCACACGCCATGTTGCAAAACTGGTATGGTATGACATGATTACATGGCGAACACAAGCGACAGACTCTAACATGAATATCATGATATGCGTGTCATGTAACAACAAGACTACATGCCACGCTCATGATGCGCTCGCGGCCGTTTCGCTAGCGTCACATACACCAAATTTGGTATTACAGTACTTGAATGGTTGACGAAGGTATGTGACTGGTGCAAACATGATTATTATTAGGTGCGTGTCATGTAACAGCATGGCTACATGCCACGCTTATGATGCGCTGGCGGCCGTTTCCCTAGCTTGACACTTATACCAAATTTAATATTACGGGACGTGAATGGATGACGAAGGTATGATACTGGTGCAAACATGATAAACATGAGATCCGTGTCATGTAACAACACGACTACATGCCACGCTCATGATGCGCTCGCGGCAGTTTCGCTAGCGTCACATGTACCAAACTCGGTATTGCGCGACGCGAACGGGCGACATAGGTAAATGACACATCCAAGCATAATAATCCCGACATGTGTGTCGTGTAACAACACGACTACATGCCACACTGATGATGCGCTCGCCGCTGTTTCGCTAGCTTCACGCATGCCAAATTTGGTATTATGTGACGTCAATGGATCACGAAGGTATGCGACTGGTGCAGACATGATAATCATGAGGTCCGTGTCATGTGAGAACATGACTACACGCCACAGTCAAGGCGCCAATATATTTCGAGGTGACGCGGAGCGCGTGAAGGAAGATGCAGTGTTGTCTGGGTAACGCATCGGTGCGAAATTCGCACCGGTTGCAGTCGGGCCACGCTGGCGTCACGCTATATAGTGCTCGCGTTTTGCTATCGTAGTGTCGCTGTGCACAGCGTGCGCGCACGTCAACGCTACATTGGAGCATATGGCGCCCTTCATGATGCGCTCACGGCCATTTCGCTAGCTCCACGTATACCAAATGTGGTGTTACGTGACGTCAATGGATGACGAAAGTATATGACTGGTGCAAACATGATAATCCTGACACGCGTGTCATGTAAGAACATGAGCATATACCACGCTAATAGCGTGCTCGCTGCCGTTTCGCTAGCTCCACATATACTAAATATGGTATCACGTGACGTGAATTGATTGATTGATATGTGGGGTTTAACGTCCCAAAACCACCATATGATTATGAGAGACGCCGTAGTGGATGGCTCCGGAAATTTCGACCACCTGGGGTTTTTAACGTGCACCCAAATCTGAGCAC